ACATTGATCCTAAAAATCACTGAAGGATTGATAAATGGGAACGGTGATTCTAAACAGAAAAATAAGACGATACTCCTTCCCATTGTCGCAGATAATTACGTTCGCTCGCTGGAGGACATGCACGCTAGTTACGTATGCACGTGCGACCGAGCGCAATGCAACACGGTGTAGAAACATTGTAGTGGTGCGCGATGATACACGTTCGCGGGACAATAAAATCGTTTAAGCTGAATTGACCGTATACGAGTGGCGGCGAGGATAATACAGCGAGCTGAGTCAAGAAATTCCTCTTCGTTTAATCAAACGATTAAACAATCGGATAAACGAACGCGGACACTCGGGACTATGGATCATTTTTATTTTTAAATACCTAGATGTTTAATCGGACTGTGACGTTGAGTCATACTTCAACTGTTTAATTAAATTTTTTGATTATTTCGTATTGCATTTCCAAAAGTTTTCTTGGGCTTTTAAAATTTGGGCCCTATGAACAAAAACAATAACATTTTAATCACTTTTATTCTCATAAGTGACAGTCACAACGTGAGACTTGTGGTGAAGATTTTCAACGTGATTCAACAAATATATATTACTCGATTCATTCGAATTCAAAGTAAATATTGTTCCTCGGTAATCAATTATTACACTTAAAAGGAAACATATGTTTAGAATTTTTCTCTTTTTCCAGTAAATTATTAATGACAAAGTAGCCGTATCGATCAGAATTGATAAAGAAATGATTTGCCAAGGGGTTAAATTGAAATCTACAGTACGCAAAACATTACCTCTTGCGTTTTCATTCATTTCTTCCGCAACTTTGCTCGCCGTCATCAATTAATTATGGAAAGATAACATTGAATCTCTACTCAGAGGACTGATGTTTACTAATTAACGTACGTTTGCTGAATTCCATTCGAAATCTTCGTCGCGAGCATGACACGACTTTAGAAGAGACGAGCGCGTTCGCTGCTAAAGAGATCATTAATATCAACCCACCGGCGCGGCAGCCGCGCGCCAGCGACGAATGAAATTCGAACACCGAGCAAGGGGGTAATATCCGCCGCGTATTTGCTTTTTCCACCGGCGGCGTATAGAATCCCTGAAAAATACGTGATATCGCGTATCGAACGGGTTGGCACATATTCGAGAGTTTACCGCGCGAGAGGTGGTGCACGGTGTTTCGTGTATTAAACATCAGACAGAATTTGTCCATTTTTCGAGGGAACATCTGCAAACAAGATTTCCTGGGAATTCTGACGCTGCAACTAGGATCGGAGTGTACTTGAAGCCTTTCAGTCGTGGCGACCTTATATAAGGACGTACTAAATAAATGCTTCGTGTATCTAAATTCGGTAAATTTTGTTTGTAAACTTTATCCTCGTACTATCTCAACCGTAGATTCTATTGCACAATGCTGTCGACCTATCTTGTCGAATTGTTATCACAAAATCCTAAAATAGCTGGGAAGAGTCCACTTGAATGCGTCTTCAGTTTTATTTTGTGGTAACAGTTCACGAAATCCCAAAATTACTGAGAAAAGTCCACTTGAATGCGTCCTTACCTTTATTTTGTGATAACAGTTCACAAAATCCCAAAATTACTGGGAAGACCCCACTTAAATGTGTCTTTAGATTTATTTTGTTATAACGTAGTTTAAAAAATCCTAAGATAACTGAGAAGTCTACTTGAATGTGTCTTTAATTTTATATTGTGATAACAGTTTACAAAATCCCAAAATTACAGGGAAGAGTCTACTTGAATGTGTCTAGTTTTATTTTGTGGTAACAGTTCACAAAATCCCAAGATAACTGGGAAAAGTCTACTCGAATGTGTCTTTAATTCTATTTTGTGATAACAGTTCACAAAATCCCAAGATAATTGGGAAGAGTCCACTTGAATGTGTCTTTAGTTTCATTCTGTGATAACACAATTTGACAAGAGATATCGACATCACTGTCAAATAGAATCTACGGCTGTGATAATACGAGGACAACGTTTACAAACAATACAATTTACCGAATTCAGACACACAAAGCATTTATTTAGTACGTCCTTATGTGAGGATGGCATGACCGAAAGCGTTAAACGAAGACACAGCGAAGTTTCGCATTTAAATGTCAAAACGAACGACGCGTTGAATGTCGAGTAAACTTTGCCGGATATGAAGCCGGGTCACGTCCGGCACGCTGTGAACTTCGTTGTCTTCGCATTGGTAACTAATCCCGACGTTTCTAAACTCGGGACTCTGTGTTTCGTCGATCGCTTCTGTTAAATAGCATCAATATTTAATCAATCGATGAGATCCTGGGTATCGGTGAAGCCGAACGCTGTTACGCACGCGCGAAACGAGTTTCTATAATACAAATAAATCGTTGTATCGCAAGAAACATTATCGCTGTCGTAACATCTTGTCAGTAAACCTACCAGACGAGTGAAAATCATTTCCGATTTCTTCCCTTTGTAATCATTAAAAGATAACAGACGTTTCTCTGAGAAATTATTAAAGAAACTGATTTACCAACAAATTGAATTGTAAGTCAATTCAAGTTTCGATAGTCTTTTATAGTATCTATAAATAAATTTTAATTTACCTGCTAGTTTCAGTAGCAACACGTATATATTAGTGCAAATATAACAATTTCTCAAAGACAATTATTATGAAGAGTATAGTTTCTTTCATTAGAGAAACTGTTCCGATTCCACGAATGATTTAACGAGCAATCGATGCGTCAACAATTAACCCTTTGCACTCGAAAGTTTTCACTAGGAATATACAACACTTTCTGAAAAGATACAGACGATCTTCTTTGAAACTAATTAATGAGAGAATAACATATGAATTAAGAAGGAAAGTTATTTTATTTCAATGTTTCACGTATCTACGCATTATACAAATTTTAACATTAAACATCACATTCTATAGTTTTACTGTGTCAAAGGGTTAACACTAGAACTACCGAGCACTTGACACGATTGAAATGTAATCGCTATGAATACTGTAGTAATAGATCATTTACGGTTTCTTCAGACATTCATTATAGTATTCAATTGAAACTATTTATTTTCAAAATCATTTCGAATATTTGATGTTTCGAAGATATCAATAATTGCGAAACAAAAAAAAACTGAAATTTTCATTTCATTCACTAATTTTTATAGTATCCCTGGCAAAAATGAAAAATTCTATAACATTTCTTAGATATTTTATTTTCCTTCTTAGTGCAACATTTGGATGTGTGAAAAATCGAATAATTTTAGGATAATTTCTTTAAGATTCATTAAAATATTTAATATTATTCCTGATGCAATATTATAGCCTACAGAGGTCAAAGGGTTAATTGATTTGCGAGGTAGTGTATTGCTAAATCAATTGCTCTAGTAATTTAGAAGTATCCATTATCTTTTCAACATTAACACTACTAAATGAGTCAAATTGACCTATTCCTAAATTCTTCTTCCCCAGTGATTAAAAAGATAAAACTAACCAGTCATTTCGACTGGTACAGCGGTTCTAGTGTTAAGCTAATATCGTCCCCTCCCACTGACCTATGAAACGAACGCGTTTTTCCAGAAGGAAAGTACAAAATCGAGTCGCAACGCCGATCGTCTCCCACGTGAACGAGAGTCGAAAGCATCGCGCACACTTGGAGCGTTCGTGATCCAGATACGAGGCGGTCGAGGCCTCTTATCTCGCTGTTACGAGAGAGAATGACGTTCTCGATTTCACTGAATCACGGATCGGAGCGAGCCTGACCGCAGCTCGCGCGCCTCTGCTCGTAACACGTCCACGTGATCGCTGGCGACACGTAAACAATCGATTAGAATTACGCGGACGTTTCGCGTTTTATTCTACTCGTCATCTCCGTCCCCTCTTCCCGCGATCCGATTCGTCCGCGAACGCGCCCCGTCGATCGTTTCCAACGGAGTTCGTCGGATTAATTACTTTTCAACCCGGAGCTAATTCTCGTTCGAAACCTTTTTTCCCCGGCCGGGGAAAAAACACGCGCTGCGGGATCCCGTTAAAACTTCCAGAAATCGGTTTAGGAGATTTCGTCGGCCGGTCAGGCGAGATTTAAACTCGCCGCTCGAACGGAAATGGCTTATCTCCACCGACGAAACGGGGACAGATATTTTCACTGGGGTCGGAGAGACTGGCGGAAAATTTTTCTACCATCCCCACCTCTGACCCCGGCGATCGGCATTATCTGCGCAGTTCGAGATCCCATCGGTTGCGAAACCTATGGCCGATCGATGACCAATGTTCTGGGAAACTTGTTACATTTACTGAACGAGGAGACTTGCAATTAGTTCCAACGTTTCTTAACCATATTTAGCTAGAAGAACGTGCAATAGTAACAATACAATTCAATCGAATGATTTAACCTTCTATGGGCCGAATTTTGTTTCGTGATTATAACAAAATTAATGCAGTATGAAGTCACACGAGCCTATAGAGGGTTAATATTATATTTTTTTTAATTTAACCCTTTGCACTCAAGAGGTGACTCTGTCACCAATTTGATATACCAAAATCATAAACTTTTACATATAATATTAACCTTCTTACAATGCATGAATATTTGAAACATTGAAATAACAACTTTGCTTAACTTATGTATCTTCCCTCATTCAATTCGTCTGAACCCTTTGAACTCTGTAGGCTCCAATATTGCACCAGTTCTAATATTAAATATTTTACTGAATTTTAAGAAAACTACCTTAATCTTCCAAATATACAAAGTTTGTACTGAGAAGGGAATTCAAGGTCTAAGAAACGTTATAACATTGGTAATTTTTAGTAGGACTACTATCAAAATTGGTAGAAATTGCTGACATATCACAAAACTATGTGGAGTGCTAAGGGTTAAAGAATGTCGTCTATAACTCATTGGAAACTGTTGAATATTTTTCGTGAAAAACCGAGTGCAAATTGTCAACAAAAGAATATTCCCAGAACACTGATCGTATGAAACAATATAGAACAACAATCGAAGACTCACCTCGGACTGATCTTCCTCAAGTCTCCCAACGTCGGATTGTAGCTATGATCCTCTCCGCTGATCCTAGCCACTCCCTCGTACACACTAACACCGTAACCCTTCACCACGATGTCCACTAAATCCGGAAAGCTGTCGTGCACCGCGGTCTTCTCGGTCTTCGAGTCCCCGCGCTCGTTGCCCTCCTCCCTGGCACTGTTCTGAGTGGTCCCGTACACGTCACCGCTGGTTTGCTCCTTGCTGGCGTTCACTCTCTGCAGGAACTTCCGCCGGAAATTATTGTAGATGGTGTCCGTGTTCGGATCATCGCCGAACCGGACCCGGCCGTGGCTGGGCACTAAATGATGCCCGCTATAGCCCAAGTCCATCTGGAGGTCCATCACCAGTAAAATAGTAAAGAGGATAGCGAAAGCACTCAGGCCAAGCATCAGCTTGTCCCTGATCCTGATCATCCTCAGAGTCAGCTTCATCTTCCAGCCGTTTGTATCTTGTACCTTCTGATACCCGACACTGTTCACCTTCTTCTTGCGAAAGCCTCTAACTTGAGACTTGCCTCGCAGCTTCTTTGGGACCTTCTCGACTAGAGGACACTTCTCCGATTCAACGTTCAGAACGTCAACGGACACCACTGATCTCGGGTCAGCTGTCTCGTCAGACCCATAAGGAACGTTTAGCACCGCGGTTGGTTTTTCGTAACTGGTCTCTTGTGGAACGGAAACTATCTGGTCGTTGATCCGTTCATCGCTCGCAGGAGGCGAGCAGTCCGCTTCTATATCGATGCAGGCGCGCGAACTTTGTTCCCGCGAGAATAGGTCAGGAACAATGATGCCCGACTGATCGTCGCAGACGAGGCTGCCCGAGTTGTCCGTCCGTCCCGTGACTAGCTCGTGTTTACTTGGCCGTTCCGCAGTCCCGCGGTCTCTGGTCCCCTCCTCGTGGCCGGCCTCGGGCTGTCGGGAATCCGCGAAATTCGCAAGTTTGCATTTTACCACGGGCGACGTGGCCCGATCGCGACGCGCCGCTGGCGACTCCTCACTGGCCGGCCATGTCCTCCTCGCCGGGAGCTTATCGGCTGACCCGCGCTCCTTATCGCCGGTTAGCTCCGACCTATGAACCTGCTGCTGCTGCTTCTGCCAGTCGGTCGGCGGCGGTGATCGCTTCACTTTCCACGTCTTCCAGCGTCGCGATGCTTCGAGCGGCCTCGAGTCGTCCGGCCTCGAACAGTAGCGTCGATGAGTGATGGGCGAGCAGTTAGCTACCACGGGGTCCAAGTGACAGTTGGCCTGGATACCTGCTCGAAACCTGGCAGCCTTTCCTGCGCCGGAGATCAAGCTCTCCTCGCTCCAGGAGCGGCGTTGGTCGGACTGAAGCGCTTGGATCAGCTGCGTCGACTTCTCTATGCGCCGTCTAAGTAGAACACGCTGCTCCAACAGTCTGAGGTTGTTCTCCGACCTAATCAGATCCTCCACGTCCTCCACCGAGACGCTCTTCGACGAGCCGCCGTCGTCGACGTGTACACAGCGATTCCGCGCCGCGGAGACTCTGCTAACGGACTCGTTTACAGGAGTCTCGCGATCGGCCCTTGGGGAACTGGGATTCTCGTTTGTCGGGACACCGTCGCTGGGACAGACGGAGACAAGAACTGTCGGGGACGCCTGGGGATCTTTCGAGGACTGTGCGACTTGGTCAACCTTCAGAGGTCTCCTCGTGGACTTCTGTCTTCGGACGGGTGCCACCGGTTTCTCCTCGATCTTCTCGCCGGTCTTCGATTCGATCTTCTCCCGTGACTCGTCGCTGAATAGGAACTTCTTCCGTAGAACGGATGGACTCTTCTGGATGTTTCGTACCAGCCTCTCGCAGCCCTCGGCGATGTTGTCCTTCGAGCTGCGCACGAGTTTCTTCAGAAACGAGTCGCTTTTGTGCAACTTCACTCGGACGTTGTCCTCTTTGCTGCTGACCGACTCGGGCGTGGAGAGCAGTCCTTGATCTTCAGGCTTGTCCACCGATCTTTTCGTCTTCTCGCTGAAGCTGAACTTGAATCTCGGCCTGTCGGGCCAGCGACCGGTCTTCTGATCGCTCTTCGACGACTGCACCCGATCGCTCAGGCTCTGCTTGATCTTCCCCTCGTTCCTGCGGCCGCGGAACCGGGAGTCTTCATCCTTGCTCGGGACATCGATCGCGCGGCTAGGTGTTCCGCCGTACGGCTGCCGGTCGCTCGATCTCCACCCGCTATCTTTGAATATCTGGCGGTTTGAACGTGCTGTCTCGTCCCCCGAACCATTTACGGGACATCTCCTCTCGTCCAGAGTTCCTTCTGCCAAGGAAATTCCACGGGACCTCGGCGTATCGATCGCGGACCGCACGGCTCGACCACGGTATCGCGAGAGCCGACGTTTTGAACGAAGTCTCGTCAACTGAGTCACTAACCGATTGCTGCGCGAACTACGCTAACACGTATCGCACACGGTTCACCGTCACTTCCGGAATCTTCGGGTGCTGTCAGCCTTTCGACTCCGCTACGCCAGCGTCTGGAAAATCAAACATGGAACCGATCAGTGGAAATTCATTTTCTAGCTTATTTGTAATATCGATGAATCATCGGAGATGAATGTATTTAGACTTTTAGGGTTTACTGCTAGTCGGATTATGACCAGTAAACTGCTGTAATCAATACAACCGTTCAAATTGTAAACCTGAACGTACAAACAGGTATAGGGCAATAGAGTTTTAGTTTATTGCAGTAACTTTTAATCCTTAACACTGCAGGTTGTTTTGTAATCTATCAGCAACTGCAACTAATTTTTATAATATTCCTAGCGAAAATTAGAAATGCTATAACATTTCTTCGATCTTTTATTTTCCTTCTCAATGCAAAATTTGAATGTGTGGAAAGTCTAACAATTTTAGGGTAGTTTCTCTAAGATTCACTAAATATTTAATATTATAACTGGTGCAATATTGGAGCCTACAGAGTTCAAAGCGTTAAAACAGCACCAAAAACAGGGTATTTTGGAATTTCCGAATACGTCACGCCATGATTGAAGATGAACATTACGTTGAAGGCGTGTGTTTCGTGTAACGACCGCCTCCTTGCCGATGACAAGAAACTAGAATCAACCAATTAGAAATGATCACTCCGCCAAGCGCAGCTTTAACACTAGAACTACCATACCAGTCAAAACGACTGGTTTCGATTTTTTTGTTTCGCAAATATTGATATCTCAAAAGCGTTGAATATTCGAAATAATATTGAAAACAGATATTTTCATTTAAATACTATAATGAATGACTGCAGAAACTGAAGATAATTTATTAGTACAATTTTTGTAGGGATTATATATGAATTATATTAAATGCTCGGTAGTTCTAGTGTTAAACGGAGCTGTCTTGGGCAGAAACGCTAGATATTCAAAGTCGTACGAACGAACGACAGAGATTTCTCCAGGCGATCCTTGTAATATCGACGAGAGGACTCCTGTATATTACGTGATCACCAGCATACCTGCATTCTGGACGAGAAACTTTCGATACGTCAAATCATTGTTATCCTTGTACTGCTATTAAATTCGTTATACTTTCAATTATATTGATACATTGTACAGTGCACACGGATTATTCATTTAACATTCCTTGTGCACAAGAGATCCTTCGAGCCGTTCTCAAGAAACAAAACAGCGTACTTTCGATTCACGTAACGAGTCGCACAGTGCGCCGCCAGAATGTTTCTGTTGAAACAAAGAATGCAAGTTCGTAATTAACACATTGAGCACCGGCCACGCAATAATGCGGATTTCTGGATTTCCATTTCTGGATGTGACAAATATGCAATTAAAATATAATATTTCACGAAAATGTATAATGTTTTGAATATTTCTTTTGGCTACTCATTGATCAGATACAAGCGAATGAAGCCGGCGTTTGGGCTAAGTGGCCGATACGTTGCCGACGCTCAGGCTTTAAATGTCTCTTAGTCCTTTGCACTCGCGAGGTGATTCTCAGTCACCACTTGATTTGACACAGTAAAACTATAGAATGTGATATTTAATATTAAACTTTGTATAATGCCTCGATACGTGAAACGTTGGAATAAAACAGCTTTGTTCCTCAACGTATTGGTGATTTCTCTTCGAATTAGTCTCAAACATCGTCTTCGTCTCGTAAAGAAATATTTCTAGTAAAAAACATCCGAGTGCTAAGGGTTAAGTCGCCGGCGGTCAATGTGTTAATAGGAAACAATGCTATAGGAAATGTGTTAGGAACTTCAGTATTAGGAACATCCGTTGAAAACCGGACGAAAATAGAGGGTCAGAGATAAGGCGACCAACGACCCAAGACGAAGTTGAAAGGAGCATCGCAGGAAGCCGCGCGGCTCGTTCAGAAATAATTCAACACTCGATGGTATAATAATAGCCGTGTCGCAGGCTTTTTATCGAGTTTCCTCGCAGGTGCACACCAGAAGAGACCCCGGACGGAGATGCACTGGGTCAAGGTGGAGCCTTTAAGGGGGACGCGCAACGTCGAGGTGTGAGGGTGGTCGTAGCCACTGAAAGAGGAGAGATATCAACTGTGAAATAGAGTGACGGTAATGGCGTGCTTCGTGTTGCGAGAGTGGCCATTACAGTTATCGCGAAAGTCGCGTCATAAAGAGGATACCAGGGTCCGCGCACCGGGATGCCCGGCCCGAGAGAGAGATCGTAAACGCCGCGCCACTCTTCACGGTATCCTTTATACTCGCAAACATCCAGTCGCATCCAGACAGACCGCATAATTCAATATACCGGCCGCCGGCTTTAATGACGGCCAGATTCGGTTAGTCGGATACGGTTACGTCTTTCTAGACCGGCGAGCGTGATCGGACCCACCCCCTATTGATATCGACTCGATTCGCCCTGGAACTCGAGAACGGAATCACCTAACGCTACCTCGAACATTCCTTGCGGGAATTGGTTGTTGCGGTAGAGTGTACGGAAAAATTGAAAGGTTACTTTCTTGTTCATGGCTTGGGAATTTTTGGAGCGTAGTTTGTCTTGTGTGTATCTCGCTTTCAGGAGAGCCACGATTTATCAATATTCCAGTTTTGGAAAGTTTTCACTTGCAAGTATTCGAGTTTCTCAGGTTTCGAACATTCAAATTTTCTAATATTTGAGTTTCCATATTCATGCACTGAAATTTCTAAATTTTCAGATATTCAAATATTCGTATGCTGAAATTTACAAATTTTCGGACATTTAAATATTCATACGCTAAAATTTCCAATTTGTAAACATTCAAATATTCAAACACTCAAACACTCAAACACTCAAATATTCAAATATTCAAATTTCCATATATTCATGCGCTTAAGCTTCTAAATTTTCAGACATTTAAATATTTATACGCTAAAATTTCCAATTTGTAAACATTCAAATATTCAAACACTCAAACACTCAAACACTCAAACACTCAAATATTCAAATTTCCATATATTCATGCGCTAAAGCTTCTAAATTTTCAGACATTCAAATATTCATATGCTGGAATTTCCAAATTTTCAGACATTTAAATATTCATACACTAAAATGTTCAAACATTCAAATTCCCAAATATTCATACGCTAAAATTTCCAAGCATTCAAATTCCCAAAGATTCATACGCTAAAATTTTCGACAATTCAATTCCCAAATATTCATATGCTAAACTTTTCAAACATTCAAATTGCCAAAGATTCACACGCTAAAACTTCCAATTTGCATACATTCAAATATTCAAACACTCAATTATTCAAATATTCAAATATTCAAACATTCAAAGATTTAAATATTCAACTTTTCAATTATTCAATAATGCAAACATTCACACGCTAAAATCTCCAAACCTCCAACCAAATTCAAATTCCCAAAACCTACACGCCAAAATTCCCATCTTCTCAAACCTCCTTACGTTCAAACCCTCAGTTTCAAATTTCCAAATCTTCACCTTTCAACTATCAATTCCCAAACACCACGATCTAATTTCCCCGAGCTTTTTACCCCCGAATTTTCCACCAGCGATCGCAGCGATTACGGGGAGCCGGTCCCAAGAACCCTATCCAGCCTCGGCAACTACAAAATCAATAATTCTACGTAGCCCGCGTAGATTAGCGGAACGATTCCGCTCGGAGCGGCGCGCTTTGTAGACACGGATTAAATCGCGTCTCTTCGAAGCGGCGCGGCGCTTCGACGAGATAAAAACAATAACTTCGTCAGCAGCGTGGGCTGAGCGGGCGGAATCTCCGCTCGAGGAGGAGTTGGAAGTTCGATCACGCGAAAGTAGAAGAGACAACGGGGTCGCGTGGCCGTGTAACGCCTCACCCTCTCGGCCGGTCTTTATGGCGGCACTTCCTTCACCCGGAGAGAAATGTCAATGGTTGTAGCTATCTTTATTATCGGCGGAGGACGCGCGGAATTTCAATGGCGAACTCGGCCCGGCCGCGGCAGAGTTACAGCGGGACCGTTTTCGTTTCGACGCGCGAGCAACGATCTCGGCCGTTCCGATCAAACATTCCGCCGGCAATGACGACGATTTCCGATCGTCCCGCGCGCGACGATGCCCGCCGAGGTATCTGCACACAGGCCGATCGTAAATCGTCGCCTAACAATCTCTTCTCCGAGGCATTAACCCTGGCAATTCCAGCGAAACTGCGTACTCGGTTAGCGAAACGGTTCTACCTTTACGCCAACTTCCGACGCGTATTTTCGCTCGGTCAACGCTATTCCTGTTGCTCCGACTTCGCTACGCGCTCCGGATGTGCGCGGAAATGTTAAACAGTTCGCAAAGGAGCAGAAATTTAACGTATTGAGCGCCGGCGACTTAAGAGACATTTAATATCGTGTATCATTTAGTATTGCGCAACGTACCGCGCCTTTCAACTTGGTCTAGGGTCGTTGGTCGCCTTATCTGTGACCCTCTATTTTCGTCCGGTTTTCAACGGAAGTTCCTAATACTGAAGTTTCTAACACATTTCCTATAGCATTGTTTCCTATTAACACATTGAGCGCCGGCGACTTAACCCTTTGCACTCGGATGTTTTTTACTAGAAATATTTACCATTTAATATTAAATATCACATTCTATAGTTTTACTGTGTCAAATCAAGTGGTAACTGAGAGTCACCTCGCGAGTGCAAAGGGTTAAGAGGCATTTAAAGCCTGAGCGCCGGTGACCTATCGGCCACTTAGCCCAAACGCCTTGATTCGCTTGAATCTGATCAATGAGTAGCCAAAAGAAATATTCAAAATATTATACATTTTCGTAAAATAGTACATTTTAATTGCATATTCGTCAAATCCAGAAATGGAAATGTAGAAATCCGCATTATCGCGGGGCCGGCGCTCAATGTGTTAACCCTTAGATAATTCAATTTTTCACGGACAGAGTTGTCAACAGTTTGAGTTCTTGAGAGAAGTCCGCAAAGGTTTCACTTTATAGAGTGGAAACACAGACGAACTTGAGATTGTGTGCGAGAGGAGCAATCATGTGTTTTGGTACAAGAAAAGTTATTGAACCCAAA